AGTTGTATGAGGAAGAAAACTCCTAGTAAATCGCACAGTCGTGGACCGCCAAGCATCCAGATGTTGAGGATGGTATCGTGAATTTTGACGCGATGTGCATTCGTGAAATATGGCGGCTGGAATTAATCCGAACAGTTCCTCAGAGCACTCCCCGTGGTAGATGCGATAGAAAATGCAAAGGGATGCAACATCCCTACGCAGTGCCAGTGTATCGAGCCGATCAGAAAGAACTCGGTCGACGATTCGAACCACTCTGCGCTGGATGCGGTCAAGTGGAAGGAGCTGGCACTGGGGTGCCCCGGCCCAGAGATGAGAACAGTATTCCATGTGAGGCCGGACTTGCGCTTTGTAAAGTTGCAGGCGGTGTGCCGGCATGAAATACTGTCTCGCTCTGCTGAGCACGCCAAGCTTTTTACAGGCCAATTTGGCCTTTCCTTCCAAGTGACCGCAAAACTGCACATTATTGTCGACACTGAGGATTCTGATGCTAGCTGAAGCAGCAAGAGGAGTGCCTTGAAACTGAGGAGATACGACAAAGGGGTTCTTTTTAGCGATAAACGCGAAAACTTGTGTCTTCTGAGGATTAAACTGGATTAGATTTAGTCGCTCCCAATCCGAGACTTTGTTCAGCAAAGACTCGACTTCCGATACAAGTTTGTCCCGGTACTCGGCGAAGTTTTTATTTTTCAACAGTATTAAACCTATTTTAAAAACAAAATTTAATGAGTTTTTAAACCACGTTGATAAATTGAATTTATTTTTTATTATTTATTATTATTATTAGATACATGCTTACAAGCTAACAAAAAGTTTAGAATTAATTTACGAATAAGTTTCTTCAATCCATCAGCAAATAAGTCCAGATCATCGTAGTGAGCTAGTATGTCACTCCTTCGTTGTGCGCGGACAGTGGACGCATGCTCGAAGCGCCTGATGCGCGTGACAGGGCGTGCCATCAAACGAGGCCGGTAGCGCATGGCTAGCTGAAGCCTTGGCTCCTGCTTATATTACGGGGACCTAAAATGCGTGCACTCTCTAGTATCTGTGACATATCGATCTTCTGAAACAGTATAGAGAGATAGTGTGTCAGCATAAGCATAACCCTCCTAAATTTCAGTTTCCATATCAACCATGCCCGATACGAACAAAGAAGGATATAGGTGCACCATCGGGAAAACTTACGCTGTATCTTCTTGGCCATAAGGACATAATTATCCTCAAATGGGTTCCAAACAACAACACCTACTCCAGCTTGCTACGAACATATACGTTAAATAGTATTTTAGCAACTACTTTATTATCAAGTTGTGTTCCTCCAGTCCTAATACTAAATCTAACATTATCTGTGCGTTCTTACAGATACTTGTCATGTGTAGCTGAGTCGTGTTTAGAATCCAATAACAGCCCTAGGTCTCGAATGTCATTTACTGTTCCAGAGGAGCGTCAAGTAGGCTATACAAATTTACAATTGATCTAGGTTTCCGAGTGAAAGTAATAATTTTGCATTTATTATTAATTAAAGGCAGATTTTCTTTTCTCCAATTCAACACCGCATCAATGTACCTTTGTAGATTTATGGTATCTGATTCAGATTCAATACCCAGACTTAGTTTTAAGACATCTGCAAAGAGGGAACGTTCAGAAAAACAAACGGTGTTCGGCAGATTATTTATAAAGAGCAGGAAGAGGGTTGGACCCATCGTACTGCCCTGATATCTTTTCTCTTACTATTTTAAAATATTGTCTTCTTGTACCTAGATTTTTCCACTCGAGTGCAGTCTGTAAATGTTCGGATATTTAAAAAATATTGATAATAATCTTACAATAGCTGTAGAAAAATTTCTAAAATTAACTTTTAATACAACAGCCTGGAATCAAACTACTTTATTTGTAAAATTTGGTGGTATTAGCTTAAGAAATCTTTATAACGTTGCATTGCCTGCTTTCCTTACTTCCGTGTATGGTGTCAATGACTTATTTAACATAATTTAAAAAAATAAAGTAGACCTGTGCTTTGCTGCAGAGGCCAGGCAAACTGGCTAACGCTCTATCCCGGCAAAAATGTTCCACTGAAAGTTGACCAACAAAAATAGTGGGATATTCCGAATGAGTTGTATGGCATGGAGTGTGCAGAAAGATTTGTTTCACAATTTCCACAGTGAACAAGATCAGGCACGCCTTCTAGTTATTTCGACTAAGGAATCTATTCACTGATTACACGCTTTACCGTCAAGCATCCCTGTAGGAATCAGTCTAGGAGCGGTAATTCGTCAAAATCACCGGTGCTCCTGTGGTATCACCGTCAACGAGTTTGGGCTCGACGAGTTAATCTATCGGGAAGGTCTATTCAGCACTGTACTTTTTTTTAATGTATTTTATGGATGGGCTTCTAAGAACTAAAAAGAATGAAATAATTTCACATTCTTAAGAGGTAATGTTTGGAACAATTAAATCCCCTACTGTTCAATATGAAAGTACTTTAGTTCAAGTTTTCGTAACTGGCTTATACTTTTTATAAAAAAAAATATTTCATTCACCCTTTTGAGTGGAAAACTTAGGTAAGGAATTTTCCATTAAATTTATATGGGACCACCCCTGAACTGCAACAGTGTGCGATCTTTACAACGTTGTTAACGAGAGACTTGTGGACGATAAATCCGACACCTCCTTGGGACAGATGGTCGCCCTCCCGGTGATAGAGCAAGTTGCCGGATTCGAGGATTACCGTGTCCTCCCCCTCTCTTCGGACTTCGGATAATCCTATAATATGCCAGCGCAACTTGTCTATCTCTTCTTTCAGCTCGACGATCTTCTCGTCAGTCCTCAGGGTGCGTGCGTTGTACGTTGCCAGGTCGAGTCGTCTAAGGTGGCAACCGAACCTCCACCGGAGATTCTTAGCACCCCCTGCCCCGCCGTTACCATGGTCGCCACCGTAGCCAGGAATAGCGGGGCCGCCGGGGACTGGGGGCCGTCTGTTTGTTGCTTTAGTCATTGGGGGGTATTTGCCATAGTTGCCACGCTTGGCGAGCGGGTTGGCAACCGCAGTTTTTTTATTATAATTTTGGCTATTATCAGGAAGATGCTGCTGCCCATCTTCTGCCTGTTTCCCTTTGTCGCCTTTTACGACACCCACGGGAGGATATGGGGTAGTGGTATTCTTGACCGCCACTACACGGGTCTTTCCATACTGTTTCATCTAAATGGCCCTATAGCATTGGAATGGTTTGCATCTTATCTTCGCGGTCGACAGCAGTCAGTCTGCAGAACTGCAACAGTTTATTAAACTAAAAGAAGATAGTTAAAAATCACTTCATAATTGACAAAGGTGTTTAAGCGTGTAAATTATATGACATACAAAAAACGCTCAAATTAAAAACCTCTTAATTTTTTGAAGTCGGCTAAAAATCAAAGGCATAGTAACGCATCGTTGCGCCTTGAAATTCAAAGCACAAACACAGCCCGAGTGTTATCCTCAACCGCTTTATTGAAATTGTCAGTCGCAATATGGAATACTCATTACCTACGTGTTCGGTGCCAAAGAAATGTTTTTTAAAAAATTCACTCTCTCACTAGTAATTTATTCAGAATCTCGGGGGCGCTTTACATTTAAGTATAAATCAGGTGGACTGTGAGTTCGTTTGTCACTTTAATAATAAAAAGAAAAAAATATCTCGCCAAGACAGCTTGAATAAAAACAATACTTAATTTATATAATATTTTTAATTAATATATTACATTTAACAATGTTTAATTATTTCATGTCTATTGTTTATTCTCCTTATTTACATTACATTATCACAAAATCTGCAGTCCTAATTGACTATGATACGTATAAATTACTGGCAATAAATACTTTATAAATATATAGTAGTCTAATTTTTTACAATACACCGAAAACACAATGATTTGGAATTAAATTAAAAAATCTGAAAAACGGTTGACAATCCCTGGGACTTCCCGAATATATTCGAGCGTAACGCTCTTACCCGATCGGGCCAATCTAACCGTGCTATAATAACAATAATATAGCTGCACCGTGGCTCTACCACGTATGAAATATATACAACCTTCAGTGAGAAAACTATCAATAAACACTAAGTAGTAGTACCATTAATGCTCAGGAGTCCATCTAAATAAGCACCATTCTCTTATTTATTTCTGTCGCGCATCCACTACCGTGATCTTGTCTACAGGATAAAAGTCAAAGTTACAGCCTATATACGTACCACTGCTGGGCACATGCCTCCTCTCATTTCTGAGAGGGTCTTAGGGCAAGCGAATGGTGAGGAGGTCTACGGGATATATTGATTAAAAAAATATAATTACAGAGAACACATCTATAACCTTGATATTCATTGCATATGTTAATGGCCTTCACTATAATGTTAGAAAAAACAACATAGGAAATTAAACTTGTGTTTAGTGATAGGTAATTTTTTTCTAATTTTTTACCGTTTTGAATATAGGAAGGTTCTCTATCTACTCCGTATGTTTGCTTGTGTGCAATTTTTCTGAAACTACACACAGACACTATCACTACTAAGATAGAGATTATTTATAACTATATACAGTTCCTTACAATAGGGTAATCTATATACTTATCTGATTCTAGTAAATAAAATATAATGGTTTTCAACTTTTTAGTTCTTTTTTGAATCACTTCTTTTTTTTTAAAAATCTTATCTAACACATTGATGTTTTATGTATCATCAGTTCATTCACCTACTGCGATTGACAAAATAAATGTTTACCTAAGGTGTCACGACATGGTAGAGCGTCGATATTGGAGGGAAAGACAAACTTCAAAGCGGCAGGGGAGCGGTAAACTTTCGTGAAGAATTAAATAAAAGAATATAAGATATAAGAAAATTATCCTATCGAATAAACATCAGAATGTACTGCGAAAATTTCTTGTAACTAAACGAGTACACATCAATTAAAAAAGTAATGTTTTAGAAATTCTATTTAAGTTTGCGTTTAAATGTTACAATTTTATTGGTTCAACGTTTACTTCTTTTACACTTTTTAATAGTAAGTCTCCAAAAAGCTAGCCTAAAATCTGGCGAGTAGAACGCATAAATAAATGGATTAATCGCGGAATTAAACCATCCAAGCCACATTAATATGCACATCAGTACAGGATTTACATATTCATTTGATAAAAATGGCGTAAGAAGATAATATACGAAAAATGGTAACCAACAGGCGACAAATCCTCCAACTACGAGACTTAACGTCTGGGCTGTTTTTGTTTCCCTCTTCAAGGAAGATACTCTATTGTTCTCAATATTTTCTTTCATCGAATGCGTTCTGAGACGTCCGGTATTCTTATTCTTAAAATTAGCCTTAAACGTTACTTCGTGATAAAACTTAGACTCTTTTTCTTTGCTGACTCTGTAGTTTTTCGGTTGCCTGCTTTTCTTAGTGGCATGAAAACAACATGGACATTTTGGATCACCTTGAGAAGAACACTCACTATGCTGAGTTGAATTTCTGGATGGTTGCTTTGATACACTTTGACGAAGGGATAACTTATCTGATCCCGAATCTGATTCGGTTCTAATGCACGATAGCTTTCCTTTCTGAAACAATTATTAAGTTAAAAAAACTATATAATTTTATACGTGGTACAGCCATGCTGCAGCTATATTAGTAGTATAGTTGTAGTACGAATGGGTCTGTTCGACCGGGGAAGAAACACGCTCTCACAGAATACCAGCGTAAAATAGCAGCATAACACTGCTGTGTTTCGTATAGTGAGTGTAGAGAACTGGAGACCCTTTTTACTGGAAAAGAGGCATACCATCTCAGTCCTCACGGGTCAACAACAACAGACAACGCATCTGCATTTTAATTATTTATTAAGAATAGATGTAGATGTATATGGGTCACAGCAACCACTTACTATCAGATGGGCTGTGTGCTCGTTTGTCACCCTATCCTATAAAAACATATTTAATGTTTTTATTTACGTCTAAAAACTCTTTTCTATCTTTTATTAAATTGATCTTAATATAAGTTACACATATGCCGTAAACTATAGTTATTTTGTTAATATTTTCATTTTTCTTTTCTAGAAAAAGACAAAGTGGCCCATAGACTTCTTTATTTATCTTTGATTAAGGATCAAAATGTAGATGTGTTGTTTCCCCATAAGACTAAGATGGAATACCTTATTTCCAGCAAAAAGCGTCTCACGTCTCTACACTCACCATACAGAACACGGAAGCATTAAGCTGCTAATTTACGCTGGTATTCTGTGAGAGCGTGGTCCTACCCTGGTTTAGCCAACCCATTCGTGCTACAACCAAAATGTAGCTGGTAGCGTGGTTCAACCACGTATTTTCGAAATTCTCATATAATCTTATAGAATTATTAGTTAGTAACCTTTACCTTACCTTACTACATTTACTGTTAGTGCTAGCCAATTGGTGATGCCGTCTTGCTACCACGCAAGATATTCTTGCGTATACGTAGACCATAACTATCATAGGCAAAAAGAAAGAGCCCATAGCCGAAAAAACGACGTAGCCAGGGTTCTGATTATACCGGCACACACCTCCTTGATTATGTTCAGGTTCATACCTGTCGATCAAATATTATTATTATTAGTAAAAAACAAACCAAGCTCAAATTATAAGTTAAAATAACACAGAGTTTATTAAAACACAGTATAACAAAGATGTAAATATTTTTACTTTAATAATATGATGTTAAGTTCTTCTTTCTTCATTTTCCCTATCTCGCCACTTTAATTTATTTCTGCTGCTCCGACAATACTCTTTCAAAAGAAATAAGTGTAATTCATCCGATATTGAGTGAATACTGTGGTTTATAGATACGATATTCAGAATGCGTTAGCATTCTCAAAGTTTTCGTCTCTTATACAAGCAATGACTACATTATGGTGGGCACTATCCGAGAGTTCATGACGCATTTTTCAGTCCACTCAATAAGCGGGTATTTGATCCTTTGCCTGCCATTCATTTAATTATATTATATTATTTTTTATACTTATTTAAAAAATTATATATTTAAATATATATTTTATTAGATGAAAATTTTAAGAAGTAGATAGAAATGAACTTAATTAAATGCAAAACAATAACTACAGCTAATGGTAATAAGGAAGTAATTGTCAGGTTGATAGAAGTAATTTTTTAATTATCTCATTGGTAACACGCAAGATGTATTTAAATATTTTAAAATTATTAACTCCCGGATAAATTGTCTATTTTTTTGTGAGAAATTTCATTATATATAATAAATACGCTGTAAAATTTGCAGATTAAATCAAACACGTTTTTGGAATTTTTTAAAATATAACTTTGGAGTATGCCCCTATGTCAATCCCTTCAGAAGTGTCTGCCATTTTTTTCTTAATTCTTAATCAACTTAGCTGACAGATCGTCATTATTATTATTTGAATCAAGCATTTTATGGGCGATTTTTTTTGTGACTTACCTGTATGCGCAGTACTAGGTGTACTCAGGTAGGTCAGGCAAACAGTCATGTACCTGCTTATTGAGTGGACTGATTATTTTCAACAAAGTTTCATGATGCATCAAACACTTCATTAAAAGTGCGTCATGAGCTCTCGGACCATTATAATGATTTGAATACTCGATTTACGTCATTTTCAACGGTAAAACAACAATGCCTACACGCATACCTGACAATAAAAATATATTTCGAAGATACATGAAGTGTGATACTGTATTTCGTTACTGCGTAGGCGATGGTCTCTTAAAACTCTAGGTCGTCTTTATTTCTATCAGTGAGTGAACATTTGTACAGCTATTAGATAAAACGTTATTTAATTGATCCAAAACTAAATTATTAATATAGCTGTTACGAACCATCCAAACATGGGAGGACACGTTATAGCTCCAGCCGATAGCCATACGCAAAATATCATTGTCAGTGCGAGCTTCTTAGATCTACGTCTTCTTGAATACGTCAATGGTCTAGTCACAGCTAAATATCGGTCCACGCTGATGGCACACAAAGATAGTATAGATGCGGTACAGAGAAGTATGTCCAAGCTAATCCAAATGTCACAAAGAATCCAGCCAAGCTCCCATTTACCTTGAAACACATAAAATTATAACAATAAATTATACTAAATGCAATTATTATTAAAAAAATATTCTGAAAAATGTTTAGACTTGTGTTACCGGTAAGTAGTAGGTAAAGGTCTTATTTCGAGAAGGAGTATTGTACAAAAAGATTGTTCTTCAGTTCTAGCAATCTAGGAACAGCACACAACATTACGCAAAAGTTTAAAATAAAGATTCAATGAATCATCAATAAATAATAAACGATTTTTGAAGTGATAACTTCATACGCCGCGTTGAGTGATATTTGGTAGGGGAAAAACTTATGGGTTCGCGTCACCGATGACCTCGACATGCTTTTAATGTGTGCGTTTGCGCGCAATACGTCACGAGTATTTATATTTTTTAATAACTAGTATTATTTATCCTATTATTTTTATAGAAAGATTATTTTAATTTTTAGTAGAATCTTATAAGATAAAGGCTAAGAATGCTCGATATTCAAATGTATGTAATAAATAACAAATTAGCAGTTACTTCATATATAGAAATATGTATAAAATAAGGTTGACATGATAATAAAAACTAAAGCAAACATTGAAAATCATAGAATTAAATTAAGCCAATTAGAATAACATTGTTTTACACAATTAGATTTAGGAGTGTTCGAGCAAGACAACGCTTATAAATTTTCTGTTGATTAAAAGATTAAAATATAGCGTATGATTAGATCAACTAAGTCGAACACCAAAAAATTGTAAATAAATCGTTCTGAATTTCTCTTTGAAATATTGCTGTTTTTATTCTCTCCTATCCCCAAGAGTACCAGTATTAAATACTATGGGCTATGCATAAAATCAATGTGTATATTTATACTATCAAATTAAGAGTTAATGCCCTTTAGTTGCAGCACCGTGATGCGGGCTATGTTAATTAAGTTTATTAACTATATTTTATTAGTATTCCTTAAAATATAGTTAATATTAATTAATTAAAATGAAGTATTTAATAGTGTAAGTAAATAACTTATTTTTTGGTTATGAGCAAACAAATAAAGTTTTTCTCTTTTTTCATTCCTTTTTTCTATTATTTCTCACTATAATGTAATAAAACAATTACGTATCTAAAAATATGAACAATCTTCTTGATAATAGACATCTTGTCAGGTTCTATTGTTGCGATACTATAATGAAAAAATTTGCCACAGCAAAATGAAATTTATGTGGCAGTCAAAGGTATATTTCAAGACATGTAGGAGACGAAACCAACACTACTTGAATTTGACTAAACAAAATCCTTGAACTACCATTTCCTTTTTTAATTTCATCTCATGCCACCGGTCTTTTGTTTATGTGGGACACATGACAATAAAGAATGAGCGAACTGCGTTAATTACCTAACATTTCGTTTATGGTGATTAATGACATGTTAGGTTGGCGATGAAATAGCCACCTAGGTATCTCTCCTTTAAAAATTATACAATCTAAACTCATATGTTCTCGCTAATTGTAGTCGTAATTTGACTACTCGCAATAGTTCACCACTTCGGGGATTATGCGTGACGATATGAGTTTTCAATTGTTTACAATTAATAGGATCTAAATTGCGGTTTCCAAGCTATTTTCAAACTTCTCTCGTTTTGTTATGGTTCAAAACGGCTTTTTGATTTGATAATTTAGTAATATTATGCCCATAACTTATTAAATAGCTAACTGATATAAATGCAATATATTTATCTTTATTATTAATAATCCTTTTTAATACTTTATTACTTCATTATTATTAGAACTCAAATAAATGTTCCGATTGACTTACACGATCTTTATAATTAATATATGTATGAATACTATGATAAATTAAACTTTTTGATGAAAACTTCAATCACTACCATTGTATTTCAATATCTTGATCATAGTAAAATGTGATTGTTATTAAGTAATATAGACTTACCTCTTATATGGACTGCGATAGCTGGCGGCATTACGAATATACCAACTAATAGATCGGCGACAGCCAAACTAGTCACAAAACAATTAGTAACCGTTCTGAGTCTCTTAGTTGTAACTACTGCAGATATGATTAATGTGTTACCAATAACAGTCACTATTATTAGTAAAAATAATACTATCACCACTGCGACCTCAACACTATCATATTTGTTTTCTTCACAAACACCACTTAGGTCCGTTATATTTGTATAAGTACTGGAATTGTAGCAAACCTTCTTTGTATTTCTCAACTGATACTCATCTGCTCCTGTTACTATTTTGTATGTGTTTTTTGTAATATTGTATTTTTCTTCTAGTGCGCTTTCTACATAAATTTCTGTCTCTATCTGACTTTTGTTCCATTTTAAGATATTCTCTATAAGTTCCAAGTCAGTTAAGGAGATCATGTGATTACTCTTTTCTGTTTTCCGTATAATGTTTATTAGTTGATGTCATTTTCTGAAACAAGAATACTCAAATTTAAAAAAAAAATGTTTATATAATAGTTTGGTACTGATCTCTTTCGTTTTTTTTTCAGATAATGTGTAATCCATGACTTTAACTGAGAAAGATAAACTAGTACATAGTCCGCCTGATGGTGAGTGTAAACTGCGGTTCTTAGATACTTCGCGTCTATCAGTTATCATTCCCGGGTATAAAAATGGAATATCTAAATATCAGTAAAATAAGAGTTAAATAAATTACTAAAAACAAAATTCCTAATTCACAAGTCAAAATAATTTTTACTTCAAACACGTTTTATATAATGATACGAAAGGTTTGTAAATTTAGAGACAGTAGGATTTGATTTTGAATTAGATTGGATACAATAGGATTAAAAATGTTAAGCATTTTTGATATAGATTTGGCAGGTATTTAAAATTAAACTTAAATAAGAGCTTTCGTGGAAAATTGATCGTCAGCGGATTGCTCCTAATGGATTTTGTTGAACTTCTACTCCATATATTTGTAATGGAATACGAATCATTGGTTCTTTGGTCAGGATAAATCCTTTGACCACACCATTCCATAAAAGGTCATCAACGATATTATGTTAGGTTTAAGTTTATAAAAAATATTAATGATTAGTATAAATAATATCAAATCGTATAGTATATAGGAATAATTTCACCAAATAGACTATATCGAAACAAAAACGGAACGTTTGTGTAATTACGTAAGCATGTCTGTCTGTCTCAGATTACCTTTGCGAAGCAAAATTTGCATTAAGAAAATAAACGTCATCGTGTGTGTAACAGAAAAACTCAATAACTGATTTTTGGCCCGACCCAGAATTTGAACCCGGGACGTCATGATCAGCAATCGCATTTACGAACACTAGACCAACAAGGCAGTCAATAATAATAATTATTAATTATTATTTATTTACTACAAAAACAGTAACAACCTAATGGTGTAATCTGTATTATATGACGATGTATATTGGAAGCTATAAAAATTTTCTAACATATTGCATAGCCGCTATATAAAAATCACTGATTTCATTTCAATTTCTTTTTTATACCTAGTTCTTATACTTGTTTTTCTTTTTCATAATAATATCAAAAACTATATGTAATAATAAAAAAAACTATAACTAGAAACTTAATTATCATATAGTCCTACTCTCAGCGGTATCGTGCCAAGAACGCTGGCTGCGTTTCCCCTCTGAATGGCTATACTTAGCCTTTGAGCGAGAAAAAAACCAGCTCTCTTATCACCAGCCGCGGATGGAGTTCCTTTGGGACCTTCATCGCTCGTGGACCCCACGGACCAATATTCTCTACAGCAAATGGCACAAATATGTAGTCATCTCTCAGAGACTCAAATAATATTGAGACTTAACGTTTTAACGGTGGTAGAGCCACGCAGCAGTTTTTGCTATTGCATGTATGGGCCGGCTCGAGCCGGGTTGGTACCACGACCTCACAGAATACCGGCGTGAAGTAGAAGCTTTGCTTCTGCGTTTCGTCTGGTGAGTGCAGGTGGCCGGAGGCCCAATTCCCCCCCTCCCCCATCAACATGGTAGCGGAATTACACGAAGAACTACCCCAGGAGGGTACCAGCACCCCTGGAGAATCCCTCGCTGAGCATCCACGACCATGTTATTCCGATCCTGAGCGTAGGTGCTCAGGCTGCCCCGCGTATTCTGGGGGGGGGGGGGGGAGCAAAATTCCGCTCAAAAGCATTACTGCTAGGGCAAACTGAGCAAGAACACCAAGGCGACCCCTGCCACGCTATCCGTGAATTTCTGCAACATCAGGGGACTTCACTCTAACCTAAACGCCGTCCACTACCATCTCGAGACGGCGAAGCCGGCCTTGCTCTTTCTGACCGAGACGCAGGTTTCCTCTCCGGCTGATATTTCGTATCTCTCCTACCCGGGGTACAAATTGGAGCATTCCTTTGTGCCTCGGGCTGGAGTTTGCGTGTATGTCAGAGAGGACATCTGTTCTCGACGCCTCGGCAGTCTTGAAGGTTCGGACCTGTCCATCCTTTGGCTACGCGTAGACAGCGACGACCATCCGCGCGTCTACGGGTGCCTCTATAGGTCCCATAGCGGTAATGCCGAAACAGACCGACTCATCGACCACGTCCAAATGGCTACAGATTCCTTACTACAACAAGGTCCCATCCGCAGAGATCGTGATCCTTGGCGATTTTAACGCCCACCATGCCGAATGGCTCGGTTCACGTCTAACCGATCATGCGGGGAGATCTGTTTATGACTTTGCCTTGGCATATGGTCTAACACAACTGGTTACTTCGCCTACGCGGATTCCAGATGTGGAGGATCATACACCTTCCCTGTTGGACCTTCTGCTGACCTCTCATCCGGACGGATATCAGGTTTCCGTCGATGCCCCTCTCGGCTCTTCGGACCATTGTCTGATCCGGAGTGTGGTGCCACTCACGCTCCCTTCGCGGTTGCGTTCTGCAGGTTGCCGCCGTGTTTGGCATTACAGGTCGGCGGATTGGGACGGAATGCGGTCCTTCTTTGCATCCTACCCAAGGGGGCGGGTTTGCTTCTCGCCGGATGATCCCAGCGCTGTTGCTGACTCTGTCACTGATGTGGTGCTACAGGGAATGGAACTATTTATTCTATCATCTGTGGCACCCATCCGAGGCAGATCTCAGCCTTGGTTTGGTCGCTCCTGTAAGACTGCATTACGCAGTAAGCAGGAGTGTTATCAAGCCTGGGCTGCGGCTTCGGCGACTCGGGATGTAAACACCAGCTCACTTAAAAAGAAGTATAACTTCGCCTCCAGGTCCTTCTAAAGAGTTATTGCCAAGGCAAAGTCAGAGCACATAGGCAGAATTGGCGAGAAACTAGTTCGCCTTCCTTCGGGAACCCGTGCATTCTGGTCTCTCGCCAAGGCTGTCCAAGGGAATTTCTGTAAGCCATCACTACCATCTCTGCACAGAGAGGATGACTCACTGGGCCATGACGCAAAAGACAAAGCCGACCTTTTAGGCTCCCTTTTTGCGTCCAACTCGACTCTTGATGACGGGGGGAAAACACCGCCGACCATCCCGCGGTGTGAGTGCTCCATGCCGGATGTGCTGTTCTCACAGCGCTCGGTTCGCAAAGCACTGCTCTCCCTGGACATCCAGAAGTCGAGTGGGCCTGACGGAATCCCCCCAATTGTGCTGAGGACGTGTGCTCCGGAGTTGGCACCGGTCCTAACGCGTCTTTTCCGGTGCTCCTACTCCCAAGGCGTAGTCCCGAATTCATGGAAGACAGCTTTTGTCCACCCGATCCCTAAAAAAGGCGACCGCTCAGACCCATCCAACTATAGGCCTATCGCGATCACCTCCTTGTTCTCCAAAATAATGGAATCCATTATTAACTGCCAGCTCATCCGGTACTTTGAGGATCACCAGCTGATTAGTGACCGCCAATACGGTTTTCGTCGGGGTCGATCAGCTGGTGATCTTCTGGTCTACCTGACCCATAGATGGGCGGAGGCAGTAGAGTCCAAGGGGGAGGCGTTGGCCGTTAGTCTGGACATTGCGAAGGCCTTCGATCGGGTTTGGCACAAAGCGCTTCTTTCGAAGCTCCCTTCCTATGGGCTTCCCGAGAAATTGTGCAATTGGATCACCAGCTTCCTTGCAGATCGGAGCATCAAGGTCGTTGTAGACGGTGCATGCTCTGACTACAAGCCTATTAACGCTGGTGTTCCACAAGGCTGTGTGCTATCACCAACGCTGTTTCTTCTGCATATCAATGATATGTTGCTAACTGGTAACATTCATTGCTATGCGGATGACAGCACTGGTGATGCTCTATACACCGGCCGTGCCAATATTTCTCGGGAAAACGTCGCTGAGTACCGGAACAAACTTGTGTCTGAAGTCGAGTCTTTGCTGAACAAAGTCTCGGATTGGGGGCGACTAAATCTAGTCCAATTTAATCCTCAGAAGACACAAGTTTGCGCGTTTACCGCTAAAAAGAACCCCTTTGTCGTATCTCCTCAGTTTCAAGGCACTCCCCTTCTTGCCTCAGCCAGTATCGGTATCCTCGGAGTCGACATATCGAGTGACGTGCAGTTTCGTGGTCACTTGGAAGGGAAGGCCAAATTGGCCTCTAAAAAGCTTGGCGTGCTCAGCAGAGCGGGACAGTATTTCATGCCGGCACACCGCCTGCTACTTTACAAGGCGCAAGTTCGGCCTCACATGGAATACTGTTCCCATCTCTGGGCAGGGGCTCCCCAGTGCCAGCTCCTTCCACTTGACCGCATCCAACGCAGAGCGGCTCGAATTGTCGACGACCGAACCCTTTCCGATCGGCTCGATTCATTGGCACTGCGAAGAGATGTTGCATCCCTTTGCATTTTCTTTCGCATCTACCATGGGGAGTGCTCTGAGGAATTGTTCGGATTAATCCCAGCCGCCAAATTTCACGAACGCACATTGCGGCAGAACTCCCGATACCATCCACACCATCTGGATGATTGGAGGTCCACCACTGTGCGATTTAGAAGATGTTTTCTTCCTCGCACGACCTCCTTGTGGAATCGATTACCATCAGCGATTTTTCCGGACCGATACGACTTAGGGACCTTCAAGAAAAGAGCGTACTCCTTTTTAAAAGGCCGGCAACGCATCTGCGATTCCCCTGGTGTTGCAGTTGTTCATGGGCGGCGGTAGTCACTTACCATCAGGTGAGCCGCATGCTCGTTTGCCCCCTCTCCTATAAAAAAAAAAAGACTTTTGGTTTGGACTAGAACCCCGTTGATGATATGAAATATAACTACCTGTCAATTTCTCGACTCAAAATAACGAAATTTCGAAAAGATTATTACTTTCCAACTCGTTTAGAATTTATGATTTTCTTCAATTAAGTCCATGTATTATTCAACCAAAAATGATTAATACAAAAATGTTTCAAAAAGTGGGTCGAATC